GAAAACTTAAGAACACACACACACACACACACACACACACACACATACATATATATATGTGTGTGTGTGTGTGTATTCTTAAGTTTTATATATATATTGTATATACACATACATAATATACAACATACCATTACAAAAAAATCAATGTGAAAAACTAATACACATAAAACTAATACACATAGAACATATATGTTTCTAATCAATTGGACGGTGTGTTCTTTCCTCAAAAACAATTTTCCTAATATTCATTTCCTATTGTTGGTAAATATTCTTAATCTAACCACTTTATTTTTTTCCCCAATCCTTATCTTTTTATTCTCTGGTTTTTATCCTTAATCCAATTGTACCATTTTTCCCAAACTGTACTATATTTTGAGTCTACCTCATCCTTTAGTTTTTGGGTAAGTACGTCCATTTCAGCGCAGTCAAGGACCTTCTGAATTATTAAATTGTTTGTTGGCATTTGGTCACCCTTCCAGCATTGTGCCAATGCAATTCTTGCTGCTATAATTATATGAAGAATTAAGTATTTCATTTCTTTAGCGTAATCACCTTTTTCCATTGCCAATAAAAATATTTCGGCCTTAAATTCTAATTGAATATTTGTAATTTCTTTTTTCCAAATTCTAATTTTTTTCTAGTATTTTTTACTTTCTGGACAAGGCCATCAGGCGTGGAAGAAGGTACCCTTCCTTTGCTTTACATTTCCAACAAAGCGGACTTAGGTTTTGGTACATATTAGCTAACCTTGAAGGTGCCAGATAACCACCGATAACACATTTTGTATTGATTTTCTTTATAGACCACCAATTTTGTTACTTTATAATTTTGCTTCCAGATTCTTTCCCAGTCTTCCAGATTGATATTGTGCCTTACATTCCTTGCCCATGTGATCATTGGGCCTTTAACTATTTCTTCAGAAGAAATAATCTTTCTGAACATCTATTACTCACTAAAAGTGTTTCAACATGGTTGTGTGTACAGAATTGGATACTGTTTTCCCCTATGCAAATGGGAAGCATATATTTGGCAAGAAAATATACTATGATAGGCCAGGTACCCTGTTTCCCTGAAAATATGAACTACCCTAAAAGTAAGTCCTAGCTTGATTTTTTACATGTGTACCCAATATAAGTCCTACCCCCCAAAATAAGCCCTAATTAAGATCCTGCCCACTCCAGAGTGCACAGCTAAAAATTAAGCTAGGATGGGAAGGGGGTGGTGGAGCTGCCCTACTACTTACTTTTGGACAATTGTAGCCAGGCCTCTCACACCCCAATACCTGCCTTGCCAGCCCATTTCTTCTGCAGCTGGCAAGGCAAGGCTGGCAAGGCTTTCCTGAAGTTCTCTGTAGCTGATAACAAAACTCTGCATCAAACCAGAGCTCTGTTATCAGCTGCAGAGGCCTTCAAGAAAGGCTTGCCAGCCACAGAAAAAGAAGTTCCTGAAGGCCACTGACAGCAAAAAGGGGGCCATGGGTGATGCACGCAAGTAAGGTTAGTCAGTGGATGACATCACCCCAAAATAAGACCTAGTACCTTTTTTGGTGGCAAAACAAATATAAGACAGGGTCTTATTTTCGGGAAACACAGTAGTTTTCTTTTTCATTTATCAAATGTCAGCACAGTCAATAATATGATTGTAATCTAAAACCTGATCTAAAGTCTGATGCCAGGATTAGGTACATTTGTCTATAAAACAGTTTGCTTATAATATTATAAATGTATAACATTATATTATAAAAGTTTATAAAATTATAAAAGTTATGGTATATTGTAAATTTAATTTAATAAATTTAACTTGTCCAGGATATCTTTTTCATCTTAAAATCTAATCTATTCAGAAGCCCTGAATTCCCATCCAAATATTACCACGGTGATATCACTTACTTTTCAAGTCTGGGTAAGATTGGCCAGGTGCTGTTATTTGGTGAGGCCACACTCTGATATGCTGCATTGTAAGCACTAAGGAACCATGAAGCTAGAATGTGTGATTTTGTAAATTCAGACAGGACCAGGATTCTGGGGAACTGTAGTACAACACATTTAGAAGACCACACATGACCCATCCCTATGTTTTTGCATTCCCTTGGCCAGCATTAGCTGTAGAGCTTCCAGTAGTGTCTATTACTCAATATTTTATTTATTTATTTAAAACATTTATATAGCCATCTGTCTTTCAGCACATCAAAAATTCAAAAGCTTATAGAATAATTTTTAAAATCATTTTAAAATCATTTATAGTTTATAGATGCAACTTTTTTTTCCTGTAAATGGCCCTAGGTCATGGGTGTCAAATTCATGTGTCACATTGCCATCACATGATGTATCACATTTTTTTTTCCTTTGCGGAACTGGGGTGGGCATAGCCTGTATGTGACCTATCTGGCCCTCAGGCCACCATTTTGACATCCCTGCCCTAGATAAAATAAATCTGTGAAAACTATTGCATTCTCTTTAAATAGTTACATGCAAGTATTAATCTGCTATTCATCCAATTAACTATTAATTTTATACTCATATGTATATGGTGGAAACGTCAGTAAAACATTGTTTAAGGTTTTGAAGAAATATGAAATAACATAAGAAGCTGATTTATTCTGATCCAGAATCATCTCTTTAGCTCAGCAGGGATTATATTGTACATAAGGTACATCTGTGTGCCACTTCCTTCAAAGATTCTGGGCAATTTACATCCTTGAAACAACACAACAGTACCATTCAAACACCTGCAAACAACAACATTAACTAAACAAATTTCTAATCTCCCCTAAAGTGCTGCCATCTGTTACAAGTCACCCTTTGCTTAGAAGGCTCTGTAAAAGGCAGTTTTTATTTCTGTCATGAATGATAATAGTAAAAGGAAGGACATGTTCTGAGTGCAAGCTATTTAGAATGAAGTACTTGACTGACAGTACTAGACTCCAAGGCTCCACCCCTTTGACATCCCAGGGAAAAGATACCTGCCAGGTGTCCACTTGGCCACAAACTAGTAGGCAAGCAGACTTCACCAATACTAGGTGATTCTAGAAGTAATGAAGATTCATGCCACAAAAAGCCTTTTAACAGCATCTTGAATTGGGCCCAGAAGGTGACTGGCAACCAAAACACCCCCTGCAATTAAGATGTCCTTTGCTGTACCAGTTTTCAGTGGGCAGCAGGTGGGCAGCCAAATGTTGTACCTCCAGTCATTTTCAAAGGCAACCCCATCTAGCACAAGTTGCAGTAATCTAAACATAAGAGCCTTTGGATCGAGCATGATTAAAAGTTTTCTCTGGGACTGAGGCCATCCTTCTCCCGCCTTTCTACTTCAACATCTAAGAATCTCAGTGCGCATCTGAATGTCACAGAGGGGCAGAAATACATTAAAAAAAATTCAGGAATGAAATATTTCATTTTAGGGTACATTTGGCTCCTTAGTATCTTGGTTTATTTTGCCTATTTTTGTCATAAAAGCATTAATGAGATACAAATTTTGTAATTAGCTGGTGGGTGGTTTTATTATTCCCCCCATTGTTTTAGCTTGCCCACGCTCCAGAGTCACTTTTGGAAAAAATGAACAGCTCTGTAGATTAAATAGATAAATACAAAATATTTTTTGGTGGGGGGAAGTGCCATCGTTGTTCTATGATCTGCAGCAAAATCATGGCATGCTCCAAGATAACACACCAAAAAAACATGCGGCCTGCAGTTTCTAACCATCCATGATAATACCATACAAATCCCCTTTTCTACAATAGCCGTTATTCATTGATAGAAGATAAAGAGTGTGCCTCACCAAATTTCTCTTCGAAGGCAATAAGCACTCCTACCCATGGAAGAGGTGAAGATGGCAAAACGGTTTCAACGTTCTGCCAGACTACAGTGGCTTGAATGAGTTTGCAAGTTTAGACAGTGCCAAAACCTTGGCTGAGATCTTCTTCTCTTTTGATTTGCAGAGATATCCAGCGCATTGGCATCAGCCTGGTTGGTCACCAGAAGAAAATCCTCAACAGCATCCAACTCATGCGGGTCCACCTCAATCAGCTTGAACCTGTTGAGGTCTGACAAACTGAGCACAGTCCATTTTCCCTTTTAAACACCTGGAGAATCAAATGAACAATTTTTTTTGCTGTCAAAGACAGACAGAGCAGTCCATTTCAGGCATGGATGGGGGCACAGGAAACATTGCACTCCACTTCACAAACCAGAGAAAAATTTATAGAGATTCTTTGCTTGTTTTTCTTTATTTTTTTATTATAACTTGAAACACTACAAATCCTGTGTCATTTAGAGATGGGTGGTATTGTACATTTGGGGTGGGGTGGGGTGGGGTGGGCTGATAGAACACAGGGTAGAGCTGAAAAAGTACCTTTGGAATTGGAAATGCACTCACCGCCACTTCAATGCCAACGTATGGGATTGAACCCATAACAGAAACAGACACCTCAGAAGATTATACTTTGGACTAGCGGCCTGTAAACAGCCAGTTTTTCAGCTGGAGCAAACAAGGTTGAGTTTAATACAGTGTTGAAAGACTGAGTTGCCAAAAAAAGACCCCTAGAAAGCTTTTGTCCAGCTAGTAGAATTCGGTGCTGAGAAGAACAGGGGCTCCAGTTTTTTCTTTTAGGCAGTTTTGGTTAAACAAAGCAAGACAGTCTGAATGCTGTCTCATCAGGTAGTGCATTTTGGATGCTGTTCAAGTTGGCAGAAATGGACAAATCCAGACCACGGGACAGAGTCTAGACCAAGGACCTCAAGCTTGCAGCCTAGGAGACAACTACCACTCTCCAAATCATTTTCTGTGTCCGGCCAAAGTCCATGCTTTGTAGGTGCTGAAGACCTAACCCAGCAAGGCCAGAGCACTGAGCACCAAGGAGAAAAAGAACAGCCCAGCAACTACTTCAGCTCAATGACCTCACAAGTTCTCCTTGTGGGCGCAAGTTTCATAGGACACGCTCCAAGTCTCTCTTGCAAGCAGTGCAGCCCTTCTGAGACCCCTAGTTGCTCTCACATTGCATCATGGATGCTGTTTTCTGAGATGGTGCTAAATTCGGCTGGTGGGAGCAGCAAGGAAGCAAAGCACAGCCAGAAAAAGAGGTCAGGAGGCTGGGACTGGGGGAAAAAAGGAGGAGGCAGTTGAGAGAAGGGTTGTAGCTGTCTGCCCATCTGTCTGATGGGGGCATAGCATGGGAAGGACAGAGGGAGGGCAAGCAAGCAAGACCACAGGAGAGAAAAGGAGAGGAGAAGTGGGGAGGGGGAGACCAAAGGAAAGATGTCCCTCTTCAGCAAGCAGAGAGAAGAAAGAAAGAAGGGATTGGACAGCTCTTAATAGGATGGCTTTCCTACTCTATATCATCCTACGTATGATCATGAAGAAATATTGCATATCAGCGCAGTAATAAAAACCAAATATTGGTGTTCTAGTTAATGAAAAATGCTGCCAGCTAAGTAGCCAAAGTGAAATAGCTGTTTTGCAGCACTATTTTGCAAGGAGCTCTGTTTCACGGTACTTTTTATATTTAATAAATTTATGTTTAATGGCGCAATACTCTTCATTTTTTACTTCCTAGATACTTTTGAATCACGGCATGAGAAGGCTTGAAGGGTGAGGCCCTCAAGCTAATAAACTAATCCCACGCAGCACTCATCTGAAGTGAGCTTGAGCCCCTGGTCTAGATGTACCGCAGTTCACGTGAATGGGATTTGCACTGGATAACTTTGTTGTGTATTGGGCCCCATAGTAATTGGTAAGAGCTTGGTGGGAGCATTTGGAGTTTTAGTCTTAGGACCCGAAGCATTTTGGGCCACGCGTGGATTGTGTTTGATCCTCTGATAGGATGTCAACAGCCTAGTTGAAGTAAGAGTAGGTAGCAGTACAGTATGTCTGTCTCTAGGAAGATGAAAAGTCCTTCTTTGCGATGTCCAACTGGATGTGGAGACCACAGAAACTGAAATAAAACATTTTACCAAAAATACGTTGATAAGACTTTGTTTGAATGTGGGATTACATTGATTTTCTGGAAGTTGAAAGAGAGCAGATGGTTTGCACAAATAAATGATTGAGGATCTTGCCCACATTGAGACAGGCTCCATTGAGAACACAGGGAGGTGAATGTGAAGCCTTATCTCCTCCAACCGTAAAGATAACCCAGATCTATTTGGGATGGGAGCAACAACACACAGTCATTAATTAATCAGGACACTAAATCTCTATCCATCATGATGCATTTCTCTACAGCTGAATCTCATTCTGGCAGAAAAGTCCCTGGAGGATTGATGCAGACTATATCTTAGAAAGGAAATTTGTCTCTCTGTCTCTCACACACTTACACACGCAGAAGGAGAGATGGCTCCAAACGTGGTGAAATCAACATGCACATATGATTGTCTCAAGTAAATGTTCCAATTTCCCACTTTTAGCTATACACTAGTGAATGCCAACTGTCCTCTGTAAACATTCATCTGTTTCTCTTGAATCAATTGTACACATTCACTGACACATCTGACAACTTAGCAGCTTGTTAGTGCATTGCTGCATGAGATGTGAGTGGATTAGCTGAATTGTTCCAGGAATAGCCTTGAGGTTATTTTTGAAGTGCATCAGATTCCTAGTTAACCTCTCTTCTCCACAAAAATGAAAGGACTGAGGTGGGAAGACCTCAGAGGGTGGGGAAAGAGGTGGAAAGGCCCTTGGCTATGCAAATGGACATCATCAACTTTGCTCACTTATGTTTAGAATATGTATTTCTATTTATGTTCTAAAACTTTAATGAAGGTAGAGGATAATACAAGAAACAATTGGGTTTACAAATGTTAGCGCAGACAATATTTGCCATTATTAATGGGGACACCAGAGTAATTTTTTGTGAAGTCTGCCAATTTGTAAACGTGGAAGCCACAATTCAGCCAGGGCTAGGTGTACTGAAATTTCACAGACAGACACACAAATACAAATGAAACTTGTCTGGTGCTGCAATACATTTATTCTGTTATTTGTGCATTACACACACACACACAAACAAACAACATTACATGTGTGCATAAGTATATTTATATTATAAGCAATGATACAGACACAGCTCTTAATTATTACCTTATTTTGTATTACTAATCACCTGAAAAAGATGCTATGAATTAAGAGAATATCATTTATTTAGAAGACTTGATTAAGATCACCTTCCCCAAGCCAAGATCCACTGACTTCTGCACACAACCGGTTACTAGATAGCAACTGCGCACCCCGGTGCTACACAGGCTATATTAGCCTGGGTGGGGGGAGAAATCAGTTAATGTTGCTAGGATCATCCTTTAGTAACCCAAAGCACAGAAATATTCAGTGAAGACTCCTGCTATTTTAGATATGTGATGTTTGTAGGCTGTCATAACATGACATTGCTAATGTAGCAGCCCACCACAAAGACGTTAAGAGAACATTGATTGATTTGCAAGGGATTTATTTGTGATTATATACATTACACAGCAGTACAAAGCAAATTATTACTTCATCCTCAGGATTATATTTTTATACTACTAGTCTTTCATCCTGAGACATTTGTCTGACTGTATCAGCCATACTTTATTTTTCAATATGGTTTTCATTCTCTGTGATTAAATAGCCCAGTGTGATGACCAGGGGCGTGGCACAAGCATAACAAAGTCACAAAAATAGGTAAAGTCCCTTAATACCTCCAACTTGGCCCCCAGTTGTCCAGTTGTCCTCGGCTGGAGATCACTCGTCCAAAAACAGTCTACAAAGGGAAGAAATGCAGTCCGAACCCAAAGTACAGATAAATTGGAAATAAAAAAAAAACAGTACAAACTATGCTGAAGTAATTAACACGACAGGCCAGGATAATAAATTGCAGGCTTCCAAAAGATAACGAAGCACACACAGTTGGAAGGACGCCAAAACCCAGATAAGCCTCAACAAAGATAATGCACGCTTTGCTTCCAGCAAGGTGCTGTGTACAAACACCCTTGTTATATCCTGTTCTCCCAGCTGCAACTAATGAAAGGGATCAGGACCTTTTTCTCTCCCGTAAGCCACATTGCTCCCTTCTCCATTCCTCCCTGCATGCCCTAAGATGAAGAAGGGGTGGGCCTGGGTCTTCCTCTGAATGCCCCGCTGGACTGTGCCCTTCCCCCATTTCTTCCAGAGCCACTGGAGCCACACTCTCACTCCCTGTCAGCTGCTCAATCTCCCCCTCAGAATCGGACTCCAACAAGGGCATGACACCCAGACAGTTGGAAGAAAATTCCATACCTGGAATATTTTTATATAAATATAATATTTATGTAAAAAGTGGCAACAAATCCATTGGCTTGGGAGGAGTGCCAACAGGGAACACAGGCTGCCTGCAGTGGAGAAAACTGGACACGATCACTGCAATGGACGTTTTCCTGAACAAGACTTCAATTTACAATAGTTAGCAAGGAACAACAGCAGCACCTAAAGAGGTGACAATCAAAAGTGATTCCATGCTGGACAAAGCTTTTTAATGTAAGCCCCTCATTCCAAAAAAAAAAGGAAAAAGCATGGCAACCATTTTTGCTGATTTTTGTTGCCCTCTACCCTTACAGATACCACTGAGCAGCAATTTTGGAGCCGCCATATTTATCTTCCCCTTCTCCAATAACCTCCTAAAATATAATATGTTGTTAGCATATACTGTTGGCGGAAATGGAAGATTCTGAGCTGATTTGGTGGTTTATTTATTTTTAAAGAATATTTCTTTGCCTTTCCTTATTCTTTTTTTTTCAGGGTTTATCCTAAGCTTTACCATTTACCTTATTCTCCATGCTAAGGCTTCCTCCTCTTCTACAAAAAAACAATTGGGACAATACTGTAACAAAGCATTCTGCTCTCTATTGGGTTGAAGAGCAAGCAGAAAGCTTTGTCACAGTATCATCCCAATGCTCAGCCTTTTTGCTTTTTTTGTAGAAAGGGAGGGAGTGTTAAGCATGGAAAATAAGGTACATGCTAAAGCTTAGGATAAACCCTGGAGAAAAAAGAATGAGAAAAGGCAAAGAGATACTCTTTTTAAAAAAAAAAAAATCAACAAATTGGCTCAGAATCTTCTATTTCCTCCAACAGTACGGTAACAATATATTAATTTTATCGCTCTCACAGGAGTGGGGAAGAAAGGAATAAATGCTTGCTTCTACATATTAGTTGAGCACAAAACAGGAACCTTAAATCTTCTGATGGAAAAGAGGCCCAGCAGAAAGGCCATGTGGGGCAATAAGAAAGGGAACACGGCGTGTTGTTGCCAAGAATACTTCCACTTTTCTCATGGAAACAAGGCCAGTTTATAAGCAGCTTGCATGGAATGGGCTGCTGCAATCCTCAGCAAACTGTATTTTTGGCTATTCAAAGCCAGATTACATTTGAGGGGTCAATCAATCAGAATAGAGCTGGAAGGGACCTTGGGGAATCTTCTAATCCAGCACTCTGCTCAAGCAGGAGATCTCATACCATTTCAGATAAGTGACTGTCCAGTCTTTTCTTTAAAACCTCCAGTGATGAAGCACCCACAATAACTGAAGGAAACCCATTCCACTGGTCAATTGTCCTCACTGTTAGGAAGTTTCTCCTTAATTCCAGGTTGCATCTCTCCCTGATCAGTTTCCATCCCTTGTTTCTTGTCCTACCCTCCAGTGCTTTGGAAAATAAATTCACCCCCTCCTTTTTGTGGCAGCCTCTCAAATACTGGCATACTGCTATCATGCCGCCCTCCCCAGTCTTTCTTTTCTCCAGACGAGCCAAATCCAAATCCTGCACCCATTCTTCATACGTTTTAGTCTTCAGTCCTTTAATCATCTTGGTTGCTCTTCTTTGCACTTTTTCCAAAGTCTCAACATCTTTTTTGTAATGTGATGACCAAAACTGCATGCCATATTTGGTATTAATACTTCACATGATTTTGATTTTATTCCTCTGTTTATACAACCAAGGATTGTATTAGTTGTTTTTTTTTTTTTTGGCTATTGCTGCACACTGCTGACTCATGTTTAAGTGATCGTCCACGAAGACCAGGGGTGGGATTCTACCAGTTTGCACCTATTCGCTAGAACCGGTTGTTAACATTCTAAGCAGTTTGGAGAACTGGTTGTTAGAAGAAATTACTGGCCTAATCCTGTAAGGAAGGCAGGAAGGAAACATTCTGGTGTTGCTTACAGAAACTGCCTCTTCGTTAACCCTTATTACATTCTTGGCAGGACTAGACTTCCTGTCTCAGGAACTTCTCTGGAGTTTTTCTTCCCTCCTTTGCTGGTACTATGCTTGAGTGACCATTCAAAGTTACAATGGCACTGAAAAAAGTGTCTTATGACCATTTTTCACACTTACGACTGTTGCAGCATCCCCACAGTCATGAGAAGCCAGGCGAGGAGATGCGTGCCTCGATGTGAGTGATATTGAGTTGGCCACACCCAGCCAATAACATGACCACCAAGCTATGTCCACCCAGTCACATGACCACTAAGCCATGCCCACCACCTAAGCCACGCCCACAGAACCGGTTGTTAAAAAAATTGAATCCCACCCCTGACTAAGACTCCAAGGTCCCTCTCATAGTTATTGTTTTTGAGTCAGATTTGGGCTACAGATGTACTTGTACCTTTGGTTTTTTCTGCCCAGGTGTAAAACCTTGTTTTTCTCCACATTAAATTCCATTTTGTTGGATAGGGCCCATTGTTCAAGCCTGTCAAGATCTTTTTGGATCCTGAGCTTATCTTCTAGCTATTCCTGCCTACTTAGTATCATCTGCCAATTTGATGATTTCCCCTTGTATACCCTCATCTAAGTTATTTATGAAGCTATTGAAGAGTACTGGGCCTTAGACAGAATCTTGTGGTACCCCACTGCTTACTTCCCTCCATATAGATATAGTAGCATTAAGGACTACTCATTGAATACAGTTTGTCAGCCATTTACAAATCCATCTGGTGGTAAAACATTAGAACTTTCATTACCCAAACTAGTGCTATAGTAAGTAGTACCCATTAGTTTGGGTAATGAAACATCTGCCAGAAAAACAAGCAGCCTCAGAGAGCACCAAGGACCCCTCATTTCAGCCCTGAGCTACAAATATTTTCATTTATTGTCAGGTTACATTTATTCCCAACTGCAGAGTACTTTTGTGCTAGCTAGAGAATCCAGATTGCAGTGGGAATGTATATATAATACTTGTGAGATAGCATTTGTTCAGTTCATGCTGATCATTTCCCACATCACAGCCGTAGCAGTGGGAATCAGGACACTCCTGGGAACATTGTTTTGATACACGATTATTCAACTCCGGAGCATGACTTTCTGGTTCTAAATATGGAGCTGAGATCTGCATGTGGGAATTTGACATCTGCGGCTTATTGTACTGAAGCAGCAACTTTTTTCAAATATGAGCAGTGACTCTTTTACTGTTTACCAAAAAGTATCTGGGAGACAGTCACTTTCTTTTCTTCTCCAAGGACATATTCAGAGAAAGTCACGCACAATTGTGTCTTTCATGTGGCCAGTCTTTGACCTGGTAATAATGCCCCACTGCTTGAAAACCCAATCAAGCAATGGGTCACCATAAATATACACCCAATCTGCTATTCCCTTTCTATTTCTCTGATTGGGCTTTTTTGCTGAACAAGTGGCAGAACAATACAAACAATCATCTTACCAAATGGCCTCCGGACAGAGGACCATCTGTATTTCCCAGCATCAACAGAGAATAAAGCGTTACAGCATTTGAAAACTTTCTTGAAGACCCAAGTACGAGAAAAGTGGGCTACAAGCTCAGCTGTATATGCTTTGTAAATGCTTATATACCTAAATGTTTTTTCATTGTGGTCTCTGTGATTCACAGACATGGAATTAAGTGCCTGTCTGGAAGCTCCATCTGGAAGCCTCTAGAGCAGTGGAAACCATGTGTACACTGTGGCTAGACATGGGACACGGCTTACACTAAACTCCTTGAATTACTTTTCAATCACACTTGCTCATTCCTAAATTCTTTGTCCTTTTTCTTTATCTAAATACTTCACTTTTTCTTTTTTTTTTCCTTGCTGTTTTAAATAATCTCCAAGCCTTTTTTAAAAAACAAAATCATTTAAATTGTTTATCAGGGCATTTTTTTTTTATCCTCCAGGCATCAGGTCCTTAGCTGAATAGTCCCTTGGGCTGCGTTTCACATATGCCAGTGATATGGGAACATCTTTCAACTTGCAAGCCACACGAGCCTTCTGAGATTGTCATCATGATTAGACTGTCCAGGTTATATTGGAATAGTCTAGGATACAAACAAAGAAAGTGACAAAAAGTCCATCATTGTTTCATACATTACCTTTTGGATCTGGAGCATCTATCACTCCATCTTCATTCTGGCAGTTCAATTCAACGACCAGTTAACTTCCTTGTTGAGCAGCTCAGCCATGCAGAAAAGCCACCTACAAATGGGAATTATTTCCATGGGTGATGGCCCATCACAACCTTCCATAATAAGGCTGGGATATTCGCAATCTTTTTTCCCCCTTGGAATGAACCACTGTCTTACCCAGAGACAAGTCCTTCGTTCTGCCTTTCCGTCTGGAGAAATTGTTCCCATGGTCCCACAAGGTCTTATGTTAAATTCTTATAAGACTTTTATAAGGGTAACTAATAGAAATCTTTGAGGGCTTTCTTTTCCTAGAAACATCCGTTTAAAGTCATGCAATATTAATTTTTCTCTTGCATGTGAAACTACAAATCCAGGCTTTCTCTGAAGTAAACATGGCTTGAGGTCACCTTCTCCTTTATTTCTCCATTGGAAAATACTTCTTTCTAGCTTACTAATAAAAGAGTTTCTTGCCTCTGTATCAAACCAAGAATACAGTTCCCATGTGCATGTATCACAGAAGAATTGATTAGTTACCAGTAACTGAAGTTCTTTGAGCGGTCACCTGTGAAATCATAAAACCTACCTCCCCATGCTACTGTGTTTCAGGAAATCTTACTATTCCCTTTGATTCACTCTGTCAGTTTTAGGAACTGACGGGCTTTTCAAGAGCCCTAGCTAGTTGCATGAGGTGCAAGTGAGGATAGGATGCCAGCCAAGGACACAGAAAGCTTAGTAAGGAGGCTGTTGCAGGCCACCACAGAAAATATTGCCAACCTCACCTTCCCATGCCAGTATCCATATAGCCCAACACTGCTTCATAAATAGCACCCAATGAGAGCAAGTGGAATAACATAATGACAGAATTGGAAGGGACTTTGGAGTTCTTCTAGTCCTACCCTACTGTTCAAGCAGGAGGCCTTATACCATTTCAGAAAAATGGCTGTCCAAATCACTTCTTCAAACATCCAGTATATCTACAACTTCTGGGGGCAAGTGGTTCCACTGATTAATTGTAACTGTCAGGAAAATTTTTCCTTAGATTGGTTCTCTCCTTGATTAGTTTCCATCCATTGCTTCTTGTTTTGCCTTCAGGGGCTTTGGAGAATACACTGACTGCCTCTTCTTTGTGGCAGTCCCTTACGTATTGGAACGCTCCTTCCATGTTACTCCTAATCCTTCTTTTCATTAAACTAGACGTATCCAAACATTCTTCGTGTTTGAGCCTCGTCCTCTGATAATCTTTGTTGCTCTTCCCTGCAGTCTTTCTAGAGCCTCAACAACTTTTTTTAACAACCAAAACTGGACACAATATTCCAAGCGTGGTCTTACCAAGGCATTATGGAAATTCTTGGAATAAAATATTTTTGGCTATGGCTGTGTGCTCCATTTATTCAGGCTCCACTGCTCCAAGGAGAACCATCAGTTTGCCCAAGGTAAGCTGTTGAGTTACTATTCGCAAGTACTCTCTTTCCTTAAGTGACCACCCTACAGTGTGCACCCCCACAGGGGTACATGCAGCCTACAGCCTGAAAATCTGAGACCTACTGTTTTAGACTTTGTATTTTATTCAAAGGTAACAGAATTAAACAAAAATAATAAAAACAACCATTGTTTCCAGGACAAATAAACATAATTTATTAAATTATTTGATAGGTAGGTCAAATAAATCTTTATTATACTCTTTGATCAATATATTGGAATGTTTTGCACATGTAGTATAGTTGGACTGCAATGTCTTCTAACTTTAGTTTGCAGTATGAACAATGAAAGGATTGAGTGAACAGTGAAGTTATATATAACCAAGATTTAGAAAGATAAAACCAAAATCCACAGCCTTGTATTCAACAAAATAGAAAAATTCGGTTTGGTACTGATGCAGCTTAGTAGATAGGGCTTGATTGCTTCACATAATTCCTTGACATTCTCATAAAGATCATCCTCAAAGGCTTTTAGAAAGTTGCTTTTAGAATGCCAAATTAGCTTGTGCAAAACAGCAATAGTCCATTTTCTTCTCTCAACAAGTTGAACAAGATTTTCATAAGGGGGGGGGGGCAGTTCCACAGCACTTCTTATTGGTAACTCTAAAAGACCACAGAAATATTTTATGAGTTGACATTAATGGAGGTAACTACTGGAGCCCTGATACTTGTCTCCAGTAAGATGAAGAAAGCTCATGTGTGATATGGTATCACGGAGTCACAATTTCCCTACATTTGCTCCACTAGATGGCTGCTGTTTTCAAGGAGGCTGCCCTTCATAAATAGAGCTAGACCAGGGGTGGGCAAACTTTTTGGCTCGGGGGCCTCATTGACTTTTAAAATTTGACAGACGGGCCGCTACCTGGTGTCGAAATGCCTGTCATTACAAGTCAAAATCAAATGAATGCAATCATTCAATCATTCACATCAAACCTTAATTCTTTGGCGGGCCGGATTAAAAAGACCAACGGGCCGGATGTGGCCCTCGGGCCGTAGTTTGCCCACCCCTGAGCTAGACAGTGCAAGAATGGTTATGTTCCAATGGGAATATTAAAAAGCACAAGATGACCAGAGGTTTCAGAAGAAGAAGGAAGATATACAGGGCAGCAATATCTCCCATCTTGATTTTGCCTTTCCCCCTTTGATTAATGTCTATTATTACTGGCACAGTAAGAGTAAAATGTACTTTAATTTTATAATGCAAAACTCAACTATTTCTCCAAATCCTTTCTTGTTCTGATTTGGTATATATGAAACACTGTGCTTGGCCAGGCCAGTCAGGAATTCAGTGAAATGTGCAGGATTTAAATGGTAAAGGAGAACCTATATTCCTCATTGCCATATCCACAAGCACTGACCAATGTTCTTTAAGCAACCATCCAGTCTCTAAGATTTGCAAGGACTTCTGGGAAGCTCTGAAAAAGAGTCTTTGTTCTTGGAGGAATCAAGAGTCCTTTTTATATCTTGTGTCCTGCAGAGCAACGATAACATTTCAATTCTGATCCATATTTATGACCATGCTTGGAAAATTTTTGGAGTTTCCACTCAAAAGTGCAAAGCTCCAAGTGTTCCACAAACATTAGTGCCAGAGAATTTGAATCAGAGAGGTTCATGGGCACAAAACCAATTGTGGAAACATGGTTGGATAGCAATGATAATAAAGAAGGAAAGAAAACTGGGATAAAGAAAATCCAAAGTAATGTAACGAGCACTAAAATCCAATAGTATAGAACTTTGATTTAACAGATATTAGTATATTAAACTTGCATGTAACAAACTAAATCTCTGTGGTGATTTACATCATCTGTTGTCATACAAATTTGTCACATATTTGTCACACAAATCACGCAAATGACATCAGTTGCATCAATGTATATCATTTGTTTCATGATTTCACAATGTAAATTAAGTAAATTGTTGTGATAATATAGAGGAGATTCTTGACTTATGACCAGTTACTTAGCAACTATTCAAAATTACAACAGACCTACTTACAACCTCGTTTCAAGGTTCTGATGGCCTGCACTCTGTGATCATATCATTATATTTTGGGCACTCAACAACCAAACTGCATTTACAACCATTTGCCACGGCCTTGGTCACATGAACAAGATTTATGCTGTTGGTTTTTTTGCTGGAAACCAGTGTTTACTTCTCTTTTCGGCCAAACAAACAAACAAACCACCCACTAGGGACAAGAGATTTGCTTAATTTGAACACTGCATTCATTTAATGACCATGTTATATTAATGACCATTTCAAAAAAGGTTGTAAAATCAGGTAAAGGTCATGTGACATGACTTACAAACGCAATTCCAGGCTCATAAGTTGAAGACTCCCTGCAGTGGCATATTTATTGTATTGTTGTGAATAACAGACACTACCTGCCCCATTTGTTCAATTACAATGTAAGTTTTGCTATACATAATACAAAACACACACATCTAGCAATCTTCTTGATTGTCTACTAAAATTCTATTCAAAAGTTTCCATATGAATCTACTATATACCATGAAACTCTTATGTCTATGTCCTTTAATCGGGCAAAACAGTGCCTCATAGAACAACAATTTTTGAACCAAGTTACCTCAAAAGGGCTAACTTGCAGAATGTGTCCAAAGTCCAAGAACCATGATTCGTTTCATGAATGGTCATTTCATTGCTGCCACACCACTGCCCAGAGGTTTAGTAGACTGGTCCTACCCTAGCCCTCTGGAGGCTGGGTAGACTGGCCTCATCTTTGGCCCCTGGAGATCAGGTAGACCAGTACCATGCTAGCCCTCCAGAGGCTGTATAGAAGAGTCCCAACATCAACTGCCAGAGGGCAGTCAGCCACAAAGATGTAGGAGGAAATTGGAAGGCACTCCTATTCCTAATGTTTTTTCATCCTTTTTAGGTAAGGAAATATCTCTGAAACAATGAGGTCTAGTATATGTTAAAATGTACCTTATACCTCTCGGATCAATTTCCCAGTTTTAAATTCACAGCCATACCTTTGGAGCCTTTAAGTAGAGTTTACTTATCCCGTGGAATGCAAATATTTAACACTGAACATCCACATTGGCATTCATCTTTATTAGTGTTTGACTTCTATATATAATATTATGTGCTACATTTAGCTCACCTTTCTTCCAAGAACTCAAGTTAACCTATGTGAGGATCTCCCTTGATTTTATCCCCACAACAGCAACCCTATGAGGTAGATTGACAGAGAGCAGAGAGACTAACTTAACATCATCATCCCATAGCTGAGATTGGTCTTGATTGTTGGACTCCCTGGTCCTAATCTAGCTCTTTAACCATTATATTTCACTGTCCTGTTTCTAAGTATGAGTGAGTTTCATCTGGTGGGAACAATTGTACACCATCATTCTTTTGACCAGTTGTCCTGAGCAGCATGAAGGTATATTCTATACATCTTTCTCAGAAGTATTGCGTGCAGTGTTACGAAAATGCTGAAGCTGTCTTTTAAGTCTGTTAAATACACTTTTGAATGGAGACATTGCTTTGTTAAATGTTGGTTTCTTTATCCCAGTTTATGTTACTTTCCACAGAGGTACTTGGGCCTATGCATTCACACATGATAAACCTCCTCCTCCTTCTCGTCTTCCATGGCATGATTGGTATATCCCTGCTTGTGGACAAGCGTATTCCGCCGTAAGATGTTCCAATGACTGTTAGTGTTTGCTGTATTTGAAGGAGCACCAATGCCCTTCTGCTCTTTGGACAAAATTGCTCGACCATCTCTTCCATCAGCTGCAACATCTTGGGTCTGTTTTCTCTGCAGGTACTTCTCAAAGGCATCTCTTCGGTAAGGCCCATTTGTTGTAACAGACATCTGCCTTTTTTCATAACATTCTTCAACCCTGCATGTAAAATATTAACAAGAGTAGTGAAGAACATGTTATAACTGGTTATATGCATTCCCATCTGTATTATTCAAGCTTCTCCAAAGGATGTTGAACCAAGGTCTTTGGAAGAGAGCTTGGAACAATATTGCATTTATATTAGCATAATTCCTACCAGGCTAGGAGCCAGAGGCTGCTAAAAATATAGTGGGAAAGAAGACAATGATTTATTAGTCCAAAATGACAAGATCCTAAATACAAATACTTTAATATAATTATTCCCTTTATTAATACTAGGAAATGTCTTTATAGGCTTTAAAAATGAGCTACTTTTAGGAGGTGTTGGCTGCCCACTAAAATTCCATAGTCTTTGCCTTAAGAAAAATGTAATACATTTCTTGCATATTTAATTTACCTGTTAATAAAGACGCCTGCCAAAGGAAAATCAATGTGAACTATTCCATTGTCTCTTTTCCCTCATTCAACACCCTTGAGAATCATAGTTTTGTTACAACTTTGGTATCTCTTCGTATATCACGGTAAATTGCAAGAAGAATCCAGTTTATCGGGCAAAATTAATTATAAATTTATTTGGCTTAAATTGCTCCCCACATCCTTTTCTGAATGTTCTGATTATCCAGGAACTTCTGGAAGGATGTGACTCCAGGCCTGCCAAGTGATTGCCTGTATTTGTCATTTTTTCTCACAAGAAGAAACTGTCTAGTTTCTAGAGAAAACATTTGTAGTTCCATCTTGATTCTCATTAATTTAGCTCTGGAGACCTCAATATTTTTGAAGGATAATGATATTATAGTCTTCTCAATTACATTTCCTTAGGTAGAATTTATTATGGACCAGGTATTCACCCCCAAAAAACAAGGGGTCTTACGGTACTGAAGATGATATACCCTTCAAGTTGTTGATTTTTACAACCTCAATTGAACTTTCAAAGTAATACATGTATAGAGAGATAGTGAAGTAAGAATGCCTGATTAGCTTTTCTTGAGATGTAGAGCTTGTAACTAACTAGCTGTCCACTATATTTATAGTCAAAATATCTTATCCCAACTTGCTTCTTCTATGTCTTTATTTTACTTATTTTTATCTAAAGGTAATTTCATTTGTATCATATAAAAAATGGACTGACAGCTGGAAAAAAAAGACATGGAACTTTGTTTTTTACATCTGATAACTGCAGTGAGATTATTATATGTTCAAAAGTGGAAAGATTCAATATTACCCTTAATGGAGGAAAGGCTGGATAAGATGATGGAACTTGAGAGGTGGCTAAATTGACTTCCTTGATTAGGAAAAAGACAGTATCTATGTTTATTGCTGACTGGAAACCCCTTAGAGACTTTTTGCAAGAAACAGAAAAAATGAATTTGTTTGTTGATTAGAAAAAATAGATAATAAAAAATATTTTTTCTTTTTGCACCTGTTGGAAGATATTTCTTTTTATTTATTTCTTTTTTCCTTTCTTTCTCTCTTTTACTTTATGTTAGTCTTTGTTAGCTTTTAATCTTTTTTTCAAAACTTAGATATGCAAAAATGTTTATTCCAGCATCTTTAAATTTAATGAGAATACATGTCAGTCATTTCTATATCTATGTGCCATAATAGGCCAGTATAACAATAAGAACCAGGAAAGAAATCTTATTTCTTGTTAAGCAAATGGATTTTTAAAAACCCTGCCTTCAGAATTTTCCTTACATTTTCGTAAGGGAAAAAAAACATTGGAAAGCTCAAACTTATTTTTTTGAATGAGATTTGAACATGCACTAAAATCCAAACTAAGCATTCCATTTGCAGGGGAAGGAAGAACTGCTGTGCTCTATCTTTTCCATTATCCCCACTCATTAATTTTTAATAAAATTATATATAGGATATGATTTGGGCCCAAATTGGACTGAATCAGAGAACAGAACACATGAGTTTATGAAGGACATGCATCCCAATTAAGGCATCAGTGTAATAGCTATTTCTATTCTTGATAATGGGCTGAATTTAAGCCATGAGCAAGAAAATACCTTACTAGAGAACAGGCAATCTGCAATGCCTGATTTGTCTTCCTATGACTTGGAAAATTGTCTAAACCCATAAAATGAACCTGTAGGATTCATTTGTACCATAGTCCTGCAAGCTAACCAGACAGGTATTAAACATGCTTATGATCATGACCATTAAACTTCATTGCAAATTATGCTAGCAAGAACACAATACAGGTACAATTGTACCATTCGGTATAGCTAATTTTTCCACAAGCATCTACTAACCCCCTTGGCAGGCAGATATTTGTGTAAGACTGTGACAAGGTGGAGACTGCAAGGAATTGGGTGTTAATAAGAACAAATGTGATATGCATCATATCACCAAGATCCTAAAGATACATTCCTTGAATCCTACCATACAATGAAACACTTCGTGATATACTTGACATTCTCAGGTGCCCTAAAACTACCTTCAGTTTAAAAACAGGGTTTCTTTTTATAAATGTCAAGAAGTGCCTGACATTTTTGGACCTTTTTTTAACACTCATGTTACCAATATGTGAGTTTGCATTCGTTATGGTCCTTTGCCCACTGGCTGCATCATCCTCTTAGCTATGGCAACTCACAGATGTGGTAGATGACTTTCCAATCAATCAATCAATCAATATTTATTAAATCAATGCCCAGCAAAATTTAAAAGAACAAAAAACAGAGTGAAGCAGATAAATACGATAATGTATTAACAACTAGCAAAATAAATCACATAATATAATATTCACTCTTCCATTACTGTGTTCTCAATATTACTTTCATATGAGTGGATTTTGGACACTTGGCAATCAAATCCCAGGGAATTACAACGGGTAGTTGTATGTATGAGCCCAAATACTTGGAGATCTAATTGGAATAAGGGAAGTGAAAAAACAGCGCGCTGAACTCAGAAGATCACAATAAATATTTTGGCAAAGTGAATTTGGTGTGAATATTTGGTATTGTTTCTTCTGTTTTCGGAGAAAATACTGTACTGGATATTTGATGTACTTTGGTGTTATAACCACTACATATTTATTTATTTATTTATTTATTTATTTGATTTGCCAATTGTTTACAAGATAATAAGTATAAGTGTATACATAGTTGTGAATACATGAAATGGGTACATATAAGAAAAATAAAAGAAGAATAAGAGAAACAATAGGACAGGGACGGTAGGCACGTTGGTGCGCTTATGCACGCCCCCTTATGCACATAATACAAGATTGCATGATTCTGAAACATGGTCTATTTTTTAAATCGTTTGTTTTTGTGCCTTCCAGTCAGTGACTCTTGAAAACTATCTGGATGAGTTCCTGCTGTTTTCTTGGCAAAATTTCAGAGGTGATTTGCTATTGCCTATTTCTTAGGCCTGAAAGAGAGAGAGAGAGAGACTCGCCCATGGTTACACAGCTGGCTTTGTGCCTAAAGCAGGAGCAGAACACATGGCCTCCCGATTTCAACTTGATGCCTTAACTACTACACCAAACTGGCTCTTTCTTTGATAGTTTTAGTAGTTATCCCATTATTTTGTTTATAAAACTGTCTGAGTCACAGGCTATTCTTCAGCTACTTTCAAGGGACTAGAAGACTTGGTGCCTACCTAGTCCAAAGTAACAGACTGAACACATATTATTTCTAGATTTATCCCATAAAATAAGGGGCTTAGCCCAGGGGTCCCCAACCGCCGGGCCGCGGACCGGTACCGGGCCGCGGAACAAGCCTTACCGGGCCGCTGGTTGCTGGGCGCCGCCATCTTTTTTTGGTAAAAAAAGCAATTTTTCGTCAAAAAAGATGGCGGCGCCCAGCTGACGCCGGAACCGGGCCGCGGCGCCCAGCTGACGCCGGAACCGGGCCGCGGCGTCGAAAAGGTTGGGGATCCCTGGCTTAGCCTATATCATAAAATAGTTTAAATATGTTGATAAGGGTGACAAAACAATTTTACGATATATCTGAGTTGTCCAGGAATCCAAAGTGGGGAAGAAGCTCCTCAAAGCATAGGTTGCTTGACATAGATTGGGATTGGAGGTCTGTGGAAATGCACATGCTTGCATCCACAGGTGAGGGGGAGCAGTAGGAAGAAAATGTCTTTAGCAATTAGGATGCTACAGCCATATTTCTACAATCAATGAAATCTTTGTTAGGATCAAAGACCAGAATAAGGAGAGTAGCAATTTAAAATGTTTCTGCAAAATTCATATAGCATGTATTTCCTATTTCTTGCTTTTGTTGTTTCCAAAATCCACTTTCTGGTTATGGGGTGTGTTTTAATTTTTACCTCACTTTTGCAGATATTCAGAAGACTCTGAATTGGCTGCTGAAGAAAAGTAATTCCTTTCTTATTTTACTGTATCAGAGACAGGCATGGCACTTGTGCCTGAAGAGATGAATACAGTCTTTTTCATTGTTTCCTAACCTTCTCTCTCCCCATTTTACAGCATAATTCAACATGCAGAAGAGACACATGGAATCCTTTCATAGCAAAGGTGTTTGTTTCAATGCAGATTTAACTGTCAAAATGTCTCTGTCATACTGCACCTTCATATGCCTCTCCTTTATACTCTGCCGTTAGTTAATTAGGTTTATGTCTCATGTTTCTTTCCAGGAGCTGAGCATGGTATTTGGGGATGTCTCTCTTTTTTTAAATCCACAACTCTGTAAAGCAGATTGTGCTGAGGAGAGAGTGTATGGCTGAGGCTGGTGTTAAACCTGGTTCTGCAGTGCTAGTGCAGCATCTTCACCATAACACCACGGTAGATGTGAAAAAGTGCAGGAGGAAAAAGATAATTGAAGCATTTCCAGAACAAGGAAATTAAAACAATTCATCCTGGCTATATCATATTAATGGTGGAGCTCAGCAGTGATGCAGAGAGGCAAACTGAATTAGTTGGTTTTACTAGAGCAGTGTTTCTCTACTTTTGTACTTGAAGATGCAGGCTGGTGGGGAAATCTGGGAGTTGAAGTCCGCACATTTTCAAGTTGCAAGTTTAAGAA